AAGAGAAGGGTGCAAGGTGGAGGAGCAGGGAGGGGGATGAGGGAGGCGGGGGGAGCAGGAGGATGATTATGATGAGGATGATTACGAGGATGATTCTGACAGGGAGGAGGAAGAGGAGGGGGAGCATCAGCCGCAACGCGAAGGAATCGGAGACACACGGTGGAGCAACGACACACGGACAACGGAAGACGATCATAAACGAGGACGACGTTCTTCAGCACCAACGCCTACACAGCCTCACCGTTATGAGGAGCAAGGTGAGGAACGGCATGCATTGCCCTCCTCCTCCTCCACGACCCTCTCCCCGCCCCTCCTCCTCCCATCTTCCCTCCCCCCTCCACAAATACACATTATGATCAATACTCTCCTCTCTCCCCTGAATATGTGCGGGAGATCTCTGGCCCTTTCCGCGTATTGACTTTTGCAATCAGGATTTCAACCATTGATATGTTCTACTTCTGTTTGCAATGCAATGGCTTGCGGATTCCAAAATGGAGCTCCCACTGCAGCGCAGGCCTCATTTCCAGATCGGCGATGTGCTCCCGTCGCTCAGAATATCGCTCTCGCATCAGCGCGCGTCGCTCTTCTGGATCCGAGTCCGAGTCGTTTCTCGCCGTTGTCGCCGCCCCCCCCCAGTTCCTCTCCTCCGCCTTCCCCTGGCCCTCACGCTCCTTCTACTCCAACTCCTGCTGCTGCTGTTCGTCCTCGTCGTCCTCCGCCTTCCTTATCCTCCCCCTTTTCCTGCTGCCCATCCTCCCTCACCCGCCACCTCCTCCTCCTCCTCCTCCTCCTCCTCCATATGCAGCTTGACTTTTGCCATTGCGCATAACACGATGGGGTCATTGTTGGGGTCCCAGGTCGGCTATGACCCGCGTCCGCGGGTAGAGAGAGTATCCGCGCAATGGGAAGGGAGGGGAGGGAGGGACAGGATGTCAGGTATGGCGTGAGTGCTTCTAGCTTGCCCCTCCCCCACTCTTCCCCCTCCCCTCCGCCCCGCTCCTGAGGAGGAGGAGGAGGAGGAGGAGGAGGAGGAGGAGGAGGTGGACGAGGAGGAGGAGGTGGACGAGGAGGAGGTGACGCTTCAGGCGACGCGCGCCTCGCAGCATGCCTAAACACACACACAACACAACACAGCACATCACAACACAACACAACACAACACAACACAACAAACACAACACAACACAACACAACACAACACAGCACACCACACCACACCACACCACACCACAACACAACACAACACAACACAACACAACACAACACAACACAACACAACACAACACAACACACACAACACAACACACACACACACACACACACACAGCACACAAACGCCCCCGCCCACGCCCCCCCCGCCCCGCCCCCGCCCCCGCCCCCGCCCCCCCGCCCCCGCCCCCCCCCCCGCCCCCGCCCCCGCCTCCGCACGCGCGCACGCGTACGCCGCACGCGCACGCGCACGCGCCGCGCACGCGCACGCGCACGCACGCGCACGCCACACGCACACGCACACGCACACGCACACGCACACACACACACACACAACACACACCACACACACACACACGCACACACACACGCACACGCACACACGCACACGCACACGCACACACACCACACACACACACACACACACACACACAACACACACACCCACACGAACGCACGCACGCACGCACGCACGCACGCACGCACGCACGCACGCACGCACGCGCACACGCACACGCACACGCACACGCACACGCACACGCACACGCACACGCACACGCACACGCACACGCACACGCACACACACACACGCACACACGCACACACTCCAAAAACAAACAGAAGAGGCTGCGGGCAGGGGCCCGCCTCCAAACTGCGGGCCCGCGCCAGGTGCCCAGCCGCCACGTCCCGCTCCTGGAGGGGGGGCGGCGGGGGGGGGGCGCCAGCGGAGGGGAGGGGGGGGGGGGCAGCACCAGGTCCTCCTCCCTCCTTAGGACGGGGACGATGTCATGATGGGACTGCCTCAGGATGCGCGGCAGTATCCAGCGCCCCTCGTCCCTGCAACCCCCGTGGGACAGCAGGAAATCCTTGGTGATTATCATGACCTCTTGCTCCTCTGCCTCCTCCCTCCTCCTCCTCCTCCTCCTCCTCCTCCTCCTCCTCCTCCTTCACTCGGCGCCTGCACTCGAACGCCGAACTTGATTTGATTCCAAGGGCCTGTCGCCACTGAAGCTACCACCACCACCACGACAGCAAGACGTTGTGAACGACTACCCGCAACGTCACGGTGTCGCGGATCGAAAACACGGCCGGAACTCCCGACCCCGTCTATGCGCCTGGTGTCTCGAATGATATCGATCCGTGAGGGCGTGAGGGGCCCGAATCCGCAGGCGCACACGCCACCCGCGGGACCTCTGCTATCATGACAAGGTGTTCGCGTCTGTGTCCCCGCGATGTTTGCCGCCGAATCGCCATGGATGCTTTGTTCTCCAGGCCCGAAACGGGACCGACCCCTACCCCGTCTCTTCCAACAAATTCCTCCTGCTCCTCCGACTCCTCGTGCTATTGCCCCACTCTTGTAACTCCGCCTGCTTCTACTTCTGCTCTGGCTTTCCCTCCTCCGGCCCCTTCCCCTCCCCATTCAACCCCTCTCCTCCTAGTACTCCAGCTCCTATTCGGTCTCCTTCCCCTCGTCTTTGCCGCAAGGTCCTTGCCCTGCCCACCCTCGTCCTTGCCCTGCCCTCCTCGTCGTCGTCCGCCTCCACCTCCAGCGCGCGCGGGGAACGAACGAGCGGACGACCAACAATGCGGACAGCAGTCCGGGCCTACTGGAGACCAGGCGAATGAGGCCGTGGCCTCTGGAATACTATTGTGTATGGTGAGGCGTGCATGCGAGACATGTAAAAGTTATACTCCAGATTTCGTAATAAAGGGAGGGGGGTCTCATTTCGGGGGGGGTCTTTTCCAAGCTATCTTGGAGGGCCTGGGGGGGTCTGGGGACGATGTTTTGGAGGGTTCTCCCACGGGGGAGGTCTGAAATGGCTTGTCTTAGAGGGTCCAGACCCCCTCCCTTTTATTACGAAACCATGGGTAATGTGAAACGGAGGGGAGGGGAGGAGGGGGAGGAGTCCTTGTAGTCGATGTCGTGGTGAGTTGGTGCCACGTCGCTGGGTAGGAGTCTGTGTTGGCCGTGTGTGCTGGGTAGTTTGGTGTTGGTGTGTGGCGCAAGGCGCCCGTAGTCGGTGCTGTAGTGCTTGGTTGTCGGTGGTCGGTGCTTGTGGTCGCGTGGTCGGCCGTCAGCACTGCATGTCTAGGATCATGCATGACGAACGGACAACACGCACCCATACCCATAGGGGGGTCGTTGGGAGGAGGACTGGCTATGGGTATGGGTGCGGGTTGTCGGACCCTGGGTAACGCTCCCGTTCGAGCGGGGACCCCCATCCGACAACACGCATCCATAGCCCTCTCCGACCCCCCTATGGGTATGGGTGTGTGTTGTTGGTTCGTCAATGCACCGACGAAAGCTCTCTCGAGTGAGTTCCACCATGCCGTCCGGGTCGCAGCTGCGAGCCACCTTACATCGTTGGTGTCGCGGTGGAGGTATCGTCGTGGTTGAGTGTCGTCGTCGTTGGCGTCGCGTGGTGTGCCATCGTCGTCTGTCTGTCGATGCACATTGTGTAGGAACTTCCGCAAATCGTCGTCCCATCGCTTGTGCTGGCCACCGTGCTGTCGATCACCCTGTTGTTTTGTGTCCCTATTGGGATTCTTTTTCAGAGCTCGCTGTGTACACCTGTCTGGTGGGTGGGTCGCTACGCGTGCTGCCCACTGCCAAACCATTTTGCGATGCATTTTGGTGACGTCTGGGATGTCGTGCATGCTCATGAGTTCCTCCGCTCTGCGGGTGCACTGGCGGACGTAGTCAGACGAGAGTTCGGCATCGTCTGCCGCTTGCTGGCGTGTCTGAGTCGTGTGGGGTGGGTCGATGCTGTCGTCACTTGTTTGGGGTGGGTCTGATGGAGTGGGCGGGTCGCTGGAAGCGTCGTGGTCGCTGGAGTCGTCAGAAGTGTTACCGTCGAGATCATCGTTGTCAGAGCTACCCGTCGCTGGGATAGCATGCGTTGACGAAGCTGCTGACGTGTGTCGCCGCGGTGTCCCGATAATCGCTCTGACCATCCGTCGTTGCGTGCGGCGCAACTGCTGTTGGAGGGGTTCTGTAATTGTCCATAACTCTGCGCCGTACACCATTGTGGGTATGACGGTGCCACGGTACAGTCGTAGTCTGTGTTTGAGTGGGTAACGCTTGCTCGTTAGTTCCTGTCTGTGCCCTCCTGTGAAGCACGCCCATGCCGCTTGGATGCGATGCTGGCTTTCGGTCGCCGGTGCGTCTTGAAAAATTATGGTCTGGCCGAGATATTTCAGCTTTCCGGACAGAGGTAATACTTCGATGCCCATGGTTGCTCGCAGAACGCGTCCGGGTCCTGGACCGGTTTGTCATGATCTTTGTTTTGGTCGGGTGTATTTCAAGGCCGTGAGGAGCTGCTGCCTTGATTAAGTCCCCAAGCAGTGTCTATTGGGTAGTGTCTGGCTGACCAGGAGGATGTCGTCGGCGAAGTGGAAATTGGTAAGAACAAATTCGTCGGTGCGCGCAAATTGTATTCCTCGTCGTCGTCGCTGCCAATCCGGAATGAGAGGTTCCAGGGCGTGCTGCAGTAGAGCGTTAAAGAGCAGTGGGCTCAAAAGGTCTCCTTGTTTGGTGCCTCGTCTGAGCTTGAAAGGTTTGCTGGTGGAGTCGGTGCGAACAAAGGCCTTCTGGTCGTGGTAGGCGAAGAGCGGGAGGGCGGGGAGGGCAGGGCGAAGCGCAGCGGGAGCAGCGCGCGCGGGGAGGGCAGGGCGAAGAGCGGGAGGGCGGGGGCGAAAGAGAGGCCCAGACGGGAGACGCCGGGCCAGCGCTCCTGTCACAATGCGAGGCAGCGCCGCCCCGAAACGAACATGACCGGTCGCGGCGTGTTTTGCCTCTCGCGATGCCGCTGGTTTGGTCTTGCGCAAGGCAGGAAACATATCCGCCGCGACTACGAGGCGGGCGACTACGAGGCGGGCCGACCTCTGCGCTTCTGGCGGCGTGGCAAAGGCACCCATCTCGCCATCTCATCGACCAGACTCCAGGGCCGTAGCTAGAGAATGGTTTGCAGTCGGGGCTCATTGGAGAGGACACGCGGGACACAAGACCCTTTCGAGGGCCACATTGCCATAGGAATATAGAAGGCATGGGTACAGAAACGCAGGACACAAGGGTACACTTGATTTGGCAGGGTCGACCTACTCATCAAGCTCGATTCGCCCCTAGCTTCTAGACTGTCTTTTGTCTTGCCCTCCCCCTGGCGACAGCCGAGCGGGAGGGGCTCGAGAGCCACGCCTCGACCGGAGGAACCAATCCGCAGCTTCGAGATTCGAGGGCAAATTGCACCCTTCCCAGGCTAAGCGAGTCGCGCAACACTCCACCATCCAGGGAGCCGGAGCGCATTACCCGAAGATCCGATGTCTTGAATTTTCCATACGTGGTCCCCAGAAGGTCCGACACTGGAAAGTGAACATGTGGAACAAATACCCGAAACTTACCCACCGCCGTCTCCACGCGAGGCGAATCATGGTCATGACTCCATACAAAAGAACACATCTGCACCATCTGCGCTGCCCTCAACTACGCCGTGCCTTCCAGAAACCCACGGAAATGTTGAAAATTTAACACTTCGTGGCCTCCCAAAGAGCCGCGAGGTCTCGGTTGGATACGCGTGGCTTCCGACTCCGCTGGACCTCCCAGAAGCCCACGCAAGCCAGGGAGCAGCGAGGTTCCGTCTGGGTGCGCGTGGCCCCCGGCTCCGCTGGTCCCCTCAGAAGCCCACAGAAGTGGCGACATTTGCGCAGTTCGCGACCCCTCAAGGAGCTGCGAGTTCCCGCCTGGATCCGCGTGTGACCCCGGCTCCGCTGGACCTCCCAGGAGCCCACGAAAGTGGTGACAGTTGAGCAGTTCGCAGCCACCCAGGGATCAGCGAGGTCTCGTCTGGATCCGCGTGGCCCCCGACTCCGCTGCACCTCCCCGAAACGACATAAAGTGGTGACAGTTGCGCAGTGCGCAGCCCCTCAGGGAGCAGCCCCGCGTGTGCCCCCGACTTCGCTGGACCTCCCGGGAGCCCAAGAGAGTGGCGACGGCTGTGCAGCTCGCAGCCCCCCAGGGAACAGCGAGGTCTCGCCTGGGCCCGCGGGTCCCCCCCGACTCCGCTGCACCTCCCAGGAGCCAACGAAAGTGCCGACAACTGCGCACTTCGCAACCACCCAGGGAGCAGCTCAGGAAGAGGCAGGAAAAGAGGAGCAGGGAGGCGGGAGGAGGAGGAGAGATGGCGCAAACAGCGCTCGATGCAATGAATAACTCACCACAAGAAGGTCGGGAAACAACTGCTCCCGGGAACGGGAGAAAACAACGCTCCAGGATTGACACTGGAACCGGAAACAAAAAAAAAAACAAGATGCCGACGGAACTGGCACGCCAACGGCATCGGACCCCGCAACCAAAAACCGCAACGCAGAGCTGGCAACTCAGAACAACGTGCCCAGGGCGCGCCGAGCGACCGCCCCAGGCCCCCGCCGCCATGACTTGTGCGTGGCGTGGGCCCCCAGAGGTCTCGATGGGAGGCCTGGACATGAGCACCGACACCAACACAGCGACAGGTTGTTTCTGTGTCCAACTGGGGGTTTCTGTGTCCCCGTTGGTTGTTTCTGTGTCCAACTGCTCCCAACCCAGACCCACTCCAAGACACACATACACTGGGACACAGAAACACCCTATCTGGACACAGAAACACTCATCGAGGACACCGAAACCCCCATCTGGACACAGAAACACCTTTTGCCCACCAACACAGGGGGGCTGCCTCAACCAGGAAAGATGATCCTGGATGGTGGTGTTGGTGGTGATCCGCTGGCCCCCTTGTGGGGCCACCAGGCTGCAGGGCTAAGGTTCGCTGTTTCCTCTACCGGTTGCAGCTTCCAGTTTCCACTGTTACAGCTCTGCTTCTTGCTGCATACTGTTCCTTGTTGACTTCTTGCTGCGTACTGTTCCTTGTTGATGGACCGCGCGAGGGGGGGAAGCCCAAAACGGGCACTTTTACCACGCCCAAAACGTATTGTCTGAATTGCTGGGGTAGGTAAAAATTGGCACCCCATCACGCAGATCGGCGGGGTCTGGGTCAACAAACACATGGGATTCGCCACATTTCTGAAATTCGGTGGCACCCCTCACGCAGATCGGCGGGGTCAGGGTCAACAAACACATGGGATTTGCCACATTTCTGAAATTCGGTGGCACCCCTCATGCAGATCGGCGGGGTCAGGGTCCAAAAACACATGGGATTTGCCACATTTCTGAAATTCGGTGGCACCCCTCATGCAGATCGGCGGGGTCAGGGTCCAAAAACACATGGGATTTGCAACATTTCTGAAATTAGGTGCCACCCCTCACGCATATCGGCGGGGTCAGGGTCCAAAAACACTGAGATTTGGTACATTTTTGAAATTAGCTGGCACCCCGCGCGCAGATCGGCGGGGTCAGGGTCCAAAAACACTTGGGATTTGCAACATTTCTGACATTCGGTGGCACCCCTCACGCAGATCGGCGGGGTCAGGGTCCATGAGATTTGCTACATTTCTGAAATTCGGCTGCACCCCTGATGCAGATCGGCGGGGTCAGGGTCCAAAAACACGTGGGATTTGCTACATTTCTGAAATTAGGCGGCACCCCTCACGCAGATTGGCAGGGTCACGGGGATTTGCGACATTTCTGCAATTCGGCGGCACCCCTCACGCAGATCGGCAGGGTGGGGGTCCAAAAACCAATGGGATTTGCCACATTGCTGGAATTCGGCGGCACCCCTCACGCAGATCCGTCGGGTCAAGGTCCACAACCACATGGGATTTGCTACATTTCTGAAATTCGGCGGCACCCCTCACGCAGATCCGTATGGTCAGGGTTGAAAAACAAACAGGTCCCGACACTGCTTCACGGCGGCGCCAAGACCTCATGATTTAGTATTGCATCTCCCATTATCCGAGAGAGGGGGCCGGCGGCAGGGGGCGAAGCCCTTACGGATTTTTCGGCCACCCAAGAAGCCCGAAGATTACCACCATCACCGAGATCGGATTCATCTTCCCTCGGTGGATGCATGTCGCCGAAATTGGTGTTGGTGTCAACCTCTAGGTGTCCGACTCGACCCATTCCCCGGGAACGACTTTTTATCCTGGCCCGGCGATGGCCCTCAGAGGCCGAAAATTACCAAAAACCTCCTGCCGTGATTTTCTCGTGGCCCGAGGGTTCGAGTCGCGGCGAACGCATCGGTATCCACGCCCTCGCGGTCTGGGCCCCCGGGCGCGATCCTTCCCGCGGGGCGTCCACGAAAAAGCGCTCCGCATCCACCAGATCGCGGCCCAGGGGCCCAGCCCGCGAGGGCCTTGGGCCTGGGAACGACAAGGCCGTTTTTGTTACCGGTCCTGTTTTGCCGTGTTTGCTGCCCGTTCCAGCTCTAGTTTTCCCGGTTCCGCTTCTGGCTCCAATACCAGGGCAATGTTTCCCCGTTCTGGTACTCCTTCTCTACAGTTCTCATATGCCTCTTTCTTAAAAAGGGCACGGCGAACCGCCCTGCAATGGCCAAGGCATCGCGTTTCGTGGCAGGGCCTGGCACACTTCCGTTCGGCCCGGGACGTTCGCCCAATTCTTCAATCTCCGCGAAGAACTCTCCAGTGCAAGAACTTGTACTACGCCATGAAAATCAGAGTGAGGGGGCCGAACGGTCATTCATTGTCCAAGGGCGCGTGGCTGAAGTGGGGATCCGTGGTGAGGATTCTGCTTCTTGCGTTGTTGATGTTGTTGTTGCGGTTGTTGTTGCATTTTCCTTTATAAAAAAAATATTGCTGATCTCCGGGAACGGTTCGGCACGATTTCGCCTCGACGCCGGCTACATGTTGATTGGAAACGAAGCTCCCGCTCGAGCGCTGGCTTGAGCCAAAATGTGGGCCCTTGGAGGCCCAGCATCGACAACAACGGCTCCCGCTTGACAGTCCCTCACAATTTACCCAAGGACACCCTGGCCAGAGAGGCCCCCGAACTCAGAAACGGCGCTCTCGCTCGAGATTTCCTTGGAAGTCAACTAAATTGGCGGAGGCCCAGCCACGACGACTAAAGTTCCTGCTCGATACTTTTGCCTACGATTTACTCCGAGAGCCCCTGGCAAAAAAAAAGGCCCCCGAACTTAGGAACGGCGCTCTCGCTCGAGACTTTCCCGTCAGTCAGGCAAGTTGGTGGAGGCCTGGACACGGCGACAAGGGCTGCAGTTCGATATTTCCCAATCGGTCATCCGAAAAACCCTGGCCAGAGAGGCCCTCGAACTCAGGAACGGCGCGTTCGCTCGAGACTTCCTCGCACTCTAATCGGTGGCCGACAAAGAGATTCCCCCCGAAAGGGCGTGCAATAGAAACCGAAGTGGGCGGGTATCGAGGATTGGGGTAGGAGGAGTGCAAGACACGCGTGCCAGTGAGAGCGGACACTCTTAAACTGATTGGTGTTATTCTTGTTGTTGTTGATGTTGTAGATGCGCGCTAACTACTGATGAATAATTATTGTTGATCCCCCTCCGGTGCACGTTGTTTTTTAATTGAAGTGCCCCTCCCTGAGACCTCCTCACAATTTAGCCAGGACCCCCGCTCCCGCCTGAGACTTCCTCTGATTTTATTCAGGAATCGCGCTCTCGCTTGGGACTTCCTTACAGCTTACCCAAGAATCGCTCTCTCGGCGCTCTGGAGTCGCGCTCTCGCTGGAGACTTGCTTGCAATTTACTCAAGGATAGCGCCCTTGCGTTGGAACTTCCCGAAGTTTACCCAAGCGCCGCGCTCCCGACACTCAGGCACCCAGGAGTCGCGCTCAAGCTTAGGACTCCCTCACGGATTACTCATGAATCGGGATATCGCTTCCCTTCGTGGCTTCGTTGCAGCCCTTCGTGGCCCCCATCGCTGCCCTTCGCGGCCCGGCTCCAGCCCTACATGGCACCCTCGCTGCCCTTCGTGGCCCCCTCGCTGCCCTTCGTGGCCCCCTCATTGCCCTTCGTGATCCCGTT